GTGGTGAGGGAGAGGGGTTAGGGTGAGTGGTGAGTGGTGAGGGGTGAGTGGTGAGGGTGAGTGGTGACGGTGAGTGGTGAGGGAGAGTGGTGAGGGTGTGTGGTGAGGGTGAGTGGTTAGGATTTGTGATGATGGTGAGTGGTGAGGGTGAGTGTTGATGTTGAGGGTGAGTGGTGAGGGTAAGGGTGAGTGGTCAGTGGTGAGGTTGAGTGGTGAGTAGTAAGGGTGAGTGGTGATGGTTAGTAGTGAGGGTGAGTGGTGAGTGGTCAGTGGTGAGGGGTCAGGGTTAGTGGTGAGGGTGAGTGGTGATGGTGAGTGGTGAGGGTGAGTGGTGAGGGTGAGTGGTGAGGGTGAGTGCTGAGTGGTGAGGGTGAGTGGTGAGAGAGTCGTTAGTTTTGAGGGTGAGTAGTGAGGTTGAGTGGTGAGGGTTAGTGGAGAGTGGTGAGTGGTGATTGGTCAGTGGTGATTGGTCAGTGGTGATTGGTCAGGATGAATGGTGAGTAGTGAGGGTGAGGTTGAGTGGTGTGGGTGAGTGGTGAGGGTGAGTGGTGAGGGTGAATGGTGAGTGGAGGGAGAGTGGTGAGGGTTAGTGGTGATGGTGAGGGGTGAGTGGTGAGGGGTGAGTGGTGAGGGTGAGTGATGACGAAGAGTGGTGAGGTTGAGTGGTGAGTAGTAAGGGTGAGTGGTGATGGTGAGGGTTAGTGGTGAGAGTGAGTGGTGAGTGGTCAGTGGTGAGGGGTCAGGGTTAGTGGTGAGGGTGAGTGGTGATGGTGAGGGGTGAGTGGTGAGGGTGAGTGGTGATGGTGAGGGGTGAGTGGTGAGGGTGAGTGGTGACGTTGAGTGGTGAGTAGTAAGGGTGAGTGGTGAGAGGGCTTTGACAATACCTTAGTAGCTGTGTATATATGTAAGGTTATTAAGAAATATATTTTTCACCCGGGCAACGCCGGGTACTTCTGCTAGTCTTATATATAAAAGTCTTCGCGTGCTCGCGCTTGCGGGGGATTTGGCTCTCGGACGGTGGGCTGAATGTAGAAAAAAATTTGACAGGCGGCACGCCCTAAGCCCCGCGGTGGGAATAGGCTATTCCGTTTTCCAATCCGTAAAGTTTAAAGTAGTTTAATTAACACATTTGTGCCGTTTCTATGATTAATTATTTACTTATTGCGCCACATCGACCGTACCAAGTGACGCTAATTGCGTTGAGGGGGGGGGGGACCCTGTCAAGTGGTGCGCGTTCACTCGAGCTCACGGGGACATTTTATTTTACGCGTTTAACAAGGAATAGATATACACATCACGCTGCCGATTTCTCTTCACAGTGTGATGTCCTCTTCCCCCCGCCACCCCAATGCGTGCAGTTACTGATATAAAGTCCTTAGATATTAATTTAATGTTATTAAAGCGGTTACATAGTATTATTCTGGCGACGGCGGGGGGATGGTGGGGGGGGGCAAGGGTAGTGGCCCAGCCCGCAGCCTGGCAATATCTCACCTCCTCTGGCTTGCCAATCTGGCGAGGCCGCGGGCTCTGCACGGGACGAGGCGTTACTACGCCAATGTAAAGTACTATTTTATTCAATCTTTCGCTAAGAACTCAGGTTTATTGCTTTCTATTATTAAACAAATACATTTACAAATATTACAATGATAATGTTTGTGTACACATAACAACTTCGTCTTCATTCTTTACTATTATTAAACTAATAAGTTGCTTAATACTCTATTACTATTATAATGTTCGTGTGCAGAAACTACATGCGTGTGCCTAAAGTCGATGTCTGTGTGTGTGAGTCCATTTGTGTTTGTGTGCGTGTAAGTCGATGGGTTTCTACGTGTGTGGGTCCATGTGTGTGTGTAAGTCCATGTGTGTGTCTGTCTTTTTGAAACGGACAACGCCCCGTGTGTGTGTACGTACAATTGTTTGTGTGTGTGTGTGTGTCAGTCCATTTGTGTGCGTATCTGTCGCTGTGTGTGTTTTAGTCCACATGTGTGTGTAAGTCCATACGTGTGTGTTTCACTCGATGTTTATGTGTGTAAGTCAATGCGTGTGTGAGTCGATGTGTGTGCATGGCTCCATCTGAGTGTGTAAGTCAATGTGCGTTTGTGTGTCTATGTGTGTCAGTCGATGTGTGTGTGTGTGTTAATCCATGTGTGTGTATCTAAAGTAGATGTCTGTGTGTCACAGTCCATATGTCTATGGGTGTGTAGGGAAATGTGTGTGTCAGTCTTTGTAAGTGTGTGTAAGTCCATGTGTGTGTGTCTTAGTCGATAAGTGTGTGTAAGTACATGTGTGTTTACATCAATGTGTTTGTGAGTCCACGTATGTCTGTGTGTGAGTCGATGTGTGTGAGTCACTGTATGTGTGTACGTCGATATATGTGTTTGTAACTCCATGTGTGTGTATCTAAAGTGCATGTCTATGCGTGTGAGTCCATATGTGTGTGTGTGTAAGTCCATGTCTTTGTGTGTGTGAGTCGATATGTCTGTGTGTCAGTCCATGGCCGTCTGTGTTAGTCGCTTTGTGTGCATGGCTCCATGTCAGTCAGTGTAAGTCCATTTCTTTGCGTGTCTGTAGGTCCATGTGTGTATGTGAGTGAATGTATGTGCTTTATTGACCTGCTCAAGGCCTATGATACCATCAGTAGGCCTGGCCTCTGGGTTGTTCTTCATGCTTTCGGAGTCCCTCAAACTTTGCTCACGATCCTTAAGGACCTTCATGTTGGTGAGCGGCCCCGCGTCAAACTACGTGGCTGTCAGTCAGAGCCATTCCCTCTACACCTTGGGGTGTGACAGGAATGTCCTCTGGCTCCACATTATTTAACATATCTTTTTACCACGTAGTTGGTGAAGACTTCAATGGCTGTTCCCGAGGAATTACCATATGGTACAGATACAATGGGAGGTTGATCGATGCCCGGGTGCGGTCAAGGGATGCCTCCCTATTGCTCAACCATGTTATGTATGCCGATGCTCTGGTGATTGCTGCTCACTGCGGCTGAACCTGGAGCTTGCCACTAAGAGGTGGGGCCTTACCATTAGCCCCACCAAAACTAAGCACCTGCCTGCGTATTTTGTACCATCGAACAATCCACCCCCACAACTCACAATTGGTGATGCGGCAGTTGTGGAGAGATTGCCGAGATTCCAATACCTGCCCAGTGTGCTCATGACCGGCTCCGGTTTAACAGCAGAGGTCTCACTCCAAATCAGTGGAGCGGCATTATCTTTTCATCAGTTGCGTAATGCTGTGTGGAAGCTACCTGGTCTTTCGCTCCGCATGAAGCTCCAGGTCTTCTCGGCCACGGTAATTCCCTCCCTTCTCTACGCTTGCGAAACATGCACCCCCCTAATGGAACATCTTCGCCAGTTAGAAACATTTAGGCTGGCCTGCTAACGATCCTTTCCTGGATTTAACCATATTTGTGTGTGTGTGTCTAAGTTGATGTGTTTCTATGTGTGTGGGTCAATGTATGTGTGTAAGTCCATGTGTGTATCTTCCTTTTTCGCCCAAGCAACGCCGGGTACTTACCGCTAGTAAATGTATATAAATGAAGCAGACTTCCTGTGTTTTTTTGAGAACCAAATTGCGCCAACACTATGAAACCTACACACCCCATATTTTCCATGTGTACTCAAGGGTAAGTTATTATGTTTTCACGCAATTTTTAGCTTACCTGTTCACCTTCAACACCTGTAACACCTGCACACTCCAACACCCCGCTGCTGCTATATTTTTTCTCATTTACCACATTATCCTTACATATTATCAGGCCTGCATTTTTGCCACAAAATTAATTAACTTCCAGGTCCTTATTGTCCTCTCTGCACACGCACGGCTCACCTATAATATACTGTAATATTTCATCATGGAACCTTTTCCAGTACTAAAATATGAGAATAGGTTTTCTCCGTTTTTCTGGCAATAAAACAGGTGTTAAGATGTTAAAACACCAAACTGAAACCTTTAACAAGGAATCATGTGTGCATTAACCACAATACTTGTGGTCAGAATGCAAACAAAAACACTCTGATAGAAAATGCATGGTCTGCTGCTGAGGCAGACTGTTTTAGAAGGTTTGAAATGGGTGTAGCCCAAGGGTCATAAAGAAGTGGCCGGGGCAAGTGATGTTAACGTAATAAATTAGCATGTTAATGTGAAATCGAAAAGTGGTGCAATCCAAAGCGGCCTCCCTACAAGACAGAGAAGGAGCGAGGCTCTACCTGGGTAAACAACAACTACCACCACGACAACGATGTGAACTTCTCACTTCGGATCTCAGTGAGCACGCATGAAAATAAATCACGCTTGCTAACACAGAGCGCACGCCTGGGATACACTGCCGAGTTCATAGATGACCTCGCCACCGAGAAAGTTCAGCATTATCTGACAAGCACAACGGGGTGGCAGCCAGATGCGAACTGCCCATATCCCCCATTTAACACCCTTGCCGAGCACGCGTGTGTGTGAGAGATTTGCTCGCGAGCGTGCGGAATTCCGACGGCTGGGACGGGATAGAACCATTGCAAGTCTTCTTCCAGAGGAGGAGGTGAGGGGGGGGACGAGGGAGCCTCCGGGATCCCGTGAGACAACCCCAGGATGGGTGGCAGGGATACAGACCGGCATAGGAGATAACGCAGGCCATGAGACCCAAGTACGCGAGGAGGTAACCCAAGTACGCGAGGAGGTAACCCAAGTATGCGGGGAGGTAACCCAAGTACACCTGAATGTGACCAAGCTGCAGTCCACAGCGGAGATAGTCCAGTCCGAGGTGGGAGGGCTGCGCTCCATGGTCGGGGGGCTAACCAGGCGAGTATCTCAATAAGAGGCAGAACTCGAACAAATGCGCACTGGGAGGGTAAGGGGGAGTGGGAAAGGGGCCTCTTATGGAGCCACCGCCCTTCCCCGTGCGTGCTATCTATGCAACCAATGGGGGCATCTCGTGATAGACAGTCCCCAGATCGCCCGCGTGAGTGAAGCATCAGGGTTAAACACCAAAGGCCTCCCTAAAGAGGGGACCACAGAGGAGTGCAATCCACGTGGTCCCAACACAAATAAACTGTCGTGATAATGGTGAGCGAGTGACCCCCACACAGATGCCGACAACAACACCCCAGAATGCGGCGACTGTGAGTGACTGGCTGCGGGAGCTGGTGGCAGGTATAATGGGGGCCACGTCGCTCGTGGAAGGGCAGGTGAACAGGCGGCGTACCCGGATTCTGCTGGACACGGGGAGCGGTAACGTCACTCTTGAGTGCAACACACGGCAGCGTGGTCGGGGTTGAAGTGAGCCGCCTACAGGCCCCGGATCGTGCGCTGCACACTGCAAGTGGAAGTGGGATGGGGAGGGTCACCCTTAAGGGTCGCCTCGGACACCAGGTGTGTAACCAGGAGTTATACGTGTCGAGCGTGTTATGCCACGAGTGTATTGCAGGTACCGACCTCCTGGGAAAGTTGGGGCTCAGCGTGCAGCCACCGTGGAGGGCAGCGGGGAGCGGATTCCTTTCTTGGGACAAGAGCCGGGTTGCCCTCGCTTCAAGCCCGTGGCCGCTATCCTGGCGTCGGCCGTCACCGTCGGCATTGGTGTTCCACTGGGTTTTCCGTTTTTCTTCCAAACCTAAACTCAAAATATATTTGGTGGTGTTCAAACAGTCGAATGCAGGACCCTCCTGAAACATAATCTTTAACTGCTAAATGAGAAATTAAATTGAAAAAACCCTCAAACACAGTACAATATTTTTTATTTTACCAGGTGAGGCCATCTGAGCTGCATAGCTCTTTTTCAGAATCGACCTGGACACAAATGATAGCTCAACTTAGTGGGTTATAATATGGAAATGTATTGCAGCAAAATTCTCAAAACGCATGTTTCTAAATGTGGAGAAAAATCAATGCCACTACAGGGAGAGAGAGAAAAAAAATAAAAATGTAAACTGCAATTATAAATGCGTCAGGGTTGGAATCGAACTCACGCACGCAGAGTACGCTCACGGAGTACACTAACACAAATGAGTACACTCGCTCACTCGGATTATTTTTTCTCTGGGTCCTTCGATTTTCCCCTCCACATTTAGTAACATGCATTTAGATTATTTGGCTGCTACAATCTTCCACGTGAAAAGCCATTTCGTTGAGCTATCATCTATGGCCAGGTGGCTTCTGACAAAAGATCTAACAGCTCTGTGAGCCTTGATTGGTAATATAAAAATAGTTTACACCATTGGAATCTCATTTGCCATAAAAAAAATATAATTGTATTTTTTTACCCTTTTATCTGGCAACAAAACTGACTCGTTTTTACGAGGAATCATGTTTTCATAGACCACAATACCTGCAGTCATAATGCAAACAAAAAACATAACTCTGATAATGTATGCACTGTCCTTAAAGTAGATTGGTCCACACCCGAGACAGCTTTCCTTAGAACCTAGTCTCACATGGTGTTGGACCAGATGACGCCAAAAGGCGCACAACTCAAAGACAATGCACCATCAGAGAAAGAGACTAGGCTCTAAGGAAAACTGTCTCGGGTGTGGACCAATCAACTTCAAGGACAGTGCATACATTATCAGAGTTATGTTTTTTGTTTGCATTATGACTGCAGGTATTGTGGTCTATGCAAACATGACTCCTCGTAAAGAAGGTGTCAGTTTTGTTGCCAGATAAAAGGGTAAAAAACAATTATAAAAATAGTTGTTCATCGGTCTAAAGGGTGCATCAGCAAAACCAACTCGGCAGAACGCTCCTGAATTAGAGTGCTGAGACTCATTGTGGTCATGTACTCGAGTGTGCACCATGGTGGCTGGGAGATGTTAACTGCCTCTCCTGGAATACAGGAGGTGGTGGGTTCGATCGCGACCCCTCCTGTATATTTGGAGTTTGTGTGTCTCTCTCTCTCCCCGTGGTCGCGTGGATTTTCCTCCGGATCCTCAGGGTTTTCCCCTCCACATTTAGAGTCAACATCACCACGCGTTTACAGTATTTGACCGACAGACATTTCCACACGTTGATAAGCCACTTTGTTCTGGACTGGTCGCTTCAGAAAACAAGAGCGGTATAGCAGCTGAAGTGGGCTTGGCCTGGTAGGATAATAAAAAAACTGTAGAAATACTTAAAAGAAACAAAGTTTCAAAGTAGTGAGTCAGATGAAGACAAATTAAACTTAAGCAGAGAATTAAAGCAAATGCAATCAGGCGAGGGCAGGAGGCAAGGCCCCGCATGGCTAGGCCCCGCGTTGTAATGTTCCAACCTGAACATGGATTCCATACTCGCTGCTACTCAATTGATATCCCTACGAGAGACGGAGCGAGGCTCTACCTGGGTAAACAACAACAACCACCACAACAACAACAACCACAACAACAACAACCACCACGATGTCAACTTCTCCCCTCGGATCTCAGTGAGCGCGCGCGCGGTGCAGCAGCTTCCGGATATATCGTGACGTCACGCGGCAGCAGGAGTGACATCACGTCACTAGCGGGGTTCATCACACAATCCCCTCCCACAACAAGCAGCGGTGTAATTGAATAAATTATGTTAACAAGCCGGGCCCACGTGGGGTGATTGGGCTTGGTTGCTGAACCCGTCGCAATGAAATAAATTATGTTAATGAACCGCCAGTCAAACGCGCGGTGGAGGGGGGGGGATTGAATATCTTGGTGACATGACGTCACTAGCGGCGAACAGCTTTCCCTGGCGTCTCACGCCGACGAGTTAATGAGTGGTGACGTCACTGTGTGTGTATAAACTGTGTGTGTGCACTGTGTGTACAAACTGTGTGTGTACAAACTGTGTGTGTGTGTACACTGTGTGTGTACTCTGTGCGTGTACACTGTGTGCGTGTACGCTGTGCATACACTGTGTGCGTGTACACTGTGTGTGTACACTGTGTGTACAAACTGTGTGTGTGTACACTGTGTGTGTGTACACTGTGTGTGTGTACACTGTGTGTGTGTACACTGTGTGTACAAACTGTGTGTGTGTACACTGTGTGTACAAACTGTGTGCGTGTACCCTGTGCGTGTACACTGTGTGTACAAACTGTGTGTTTGTGTACACTGTGTGTACAAACTGTGTGTGTGTGTACACTGTGTGTACACTGTGTGTGTACAAACTGTGTGCGTGTGTGTACACTGTGTGTTGGCACAGTCGGGGGTACAGATGGTGCATCGGCCAGTCAACTGAGTCAGTCGACCCATGGCACCTGGGTCTACCCCGTGCACATAGCCTGGCACAAGCGCCATGGTGACGTGACCGCCACTTAGTGGCGAATGGCGGTTGTTGTTATTGTTACTGTGTGTCCGGCAAAACAAGAGATGGCACCTCAGCCAGCCATCTTATTGAGTAGCCATTACCAGATCATCAGCAGATGCAACAGGGCTGACCAGCAGGGAAACAGGTCCCTGCGGGGTGGGCTGGTAGGAACGAACAAATGAATGGCTATAATAAAATGAAATGGCGGGGGTACGATACGAAGGGAGAGTTTGAGGCCTAGTTCTAGGCTTTAGGCCTAGCTGTAGGCTTTAGGCCGCTGTGAGTTAATTTTAAACTATCTCAGGTAATTATAAGGGAATGTTACACTTGTTTAGCCAGGAAAGCCTCACTGAGTCTAAAGGTTTTTGTAGGGTCCTGCCAAGTGTTTGCAGTAGGGGGCGATGTTGCTACACGTAATCGGACGGAGGGACGATATAATCTATTGTAGGCTGGTTCACTTCGTTCCTACCAGTATAATCCCTTAACTATAACCAGTCATCGATAAGCATATTATTTTTAACCGCGACGAATGCAATTTATTTATACGGCCATTGTGAGCTCCTCAAACTACATAATTATTGAACATGCTATGTAATGTGTAATAAACCCCGTTGAGACGTCGTCAATTGAGAATTCTTTATTCAGTTTCGTTCACAGCTTCCACCACATTCGTTCCTCCAGTTCCCTTGCTCCTTCACGCTGTTGGCTGACAGCGTGAGAGAGAGACTGCGGCGGCCCGCCACGTGGCAGGCTCCGGACCACGGCACCAGCCACGTGGCTTCTCCGCTCCTTTAAATCCCTGGCCCACGTGATGCCCCGCAGCCAATCCTCAGCCACACCCCTGGAACTTTCCCGAAGCTAATGTACGGCTCCAGGGCCACGCCCCTAACTCGACTCCCCATTAGTTGCGGGCTGAGGCCGGCAGAGCCCATCATTATTATCCAGGTGTAACCTCACATTACAAATGTAATGCATTGGGCCAGAGTGAATTTCTGTCACAAGCCGAGTTGAACAGGAAATGGTTCCAACTCCTGGTCACGCAGCTTTAGATGGGCCTGCCCAAAATCATAAAAATCCTCAACGAATGTGAGCAGAGGCAGAGACATCGAAATCAAGGAACCCAAAGCACCAAGCCTATTTAGGGTACCATAGGCCTGCTGTACTCGATCGACAGAAAATACAGCCGCCCCTTGAATATCGTAGGTTACGTTCTTGGAAAATGCCACGCGACAGCTAAAAACGCGATATTCAATACTTAACCCTTACCCAAGTAATGGCGTTAGGTAAACGTCAACTAAAATTTACATCACAATTGAAATACGTACTGTATTCCAAATCAACTAAAAATTAAACTATTGAAATAAACATTGGGAAACCGTGTCTCATGCTTTTGGTTACAGGCCTACCCAACACTTATGGTCACACATGCTGTCTGCTTCTACTCGACCTTGTCCGAAAAGTCCTCCCAAAACTCCACATCCACAAATGGATGTGATTTGTCTCGGGCTCCATTAGTGACCTGGAAGTCAAACCCTAGAGCCTTCACAGGTCACCTTCACGAATGGTGACGTTTCCCAGCTGCCCTCTTTATTGGGTCCTTGCATCACAAACGATCGGCTTATGGAACTTCAAATTTCACACGTCAATCTCAGACTCTGCTCCTTGAAGACCTCCTTACACGTTTTTCAGTTTCAAGACAATTCAAGAGGCCTTCCAATTGTACATTAAGTGGTTTTTAATGTGTGTTCCCTGGCAGTTGTGAAGATTTGATTACTGTGTAAATACATTCCAAGACAGTGCAGTCGTTAGATTCCGTGGAGACGAGTTCTGCTCTTGGTGACATCACAAGCCAGAGAGAGGGGGAGGCCCTGACGTAACCCACTCGTTAATTTGAGGTGACGTCTTCAGAGGGAGCGTCTACATATTTAGGTAAACATGTGGTAAACAAGGTGGGATATCAATGCAGACAGATATATCTAAAGTTTTATTTGAATAGAATTTAAAATTCAATAAAACCTAGGCTAGAATACAAATCTGTAACAAAAATCCACGATGCCTTCAAATGTGCTCTTTAAAGTACCTCCTTGAGAAAAAACAGATCGGCAAACATCTTTCATTCAACGTTCTCTACACGAAACAAAGGAATGTTTTACACAAACTATAAATACCACGGCCTTTTAGGAATGCATGTGTAATGGGTTCCGGAGACACTTGTAGAGGTATCTTCTTTATTACAATACAACACTCCAACAGTCCTGATACTCTGTTACAGCCTAGATACACTACTCTGGCTACGCTCTGGGGTCCTCCGGCTGCAATTACCCTAGGGGAGGCTAATTGACCCGACCCAGCCAAGGTGCGGGTCTGGACTCTGGCTTCCTCGGAACTCGCCCTTACAAGGACGTAGAGCCGGGAGTCCCAGAGTCCCACCACTGGCCCTCACAACGTCCCGGCCCATACAAGGACAAGTGGGACGAGGGGGTCCAGGGTACTAAGCTGGCTGATCTTGGGTCTTGAGCTGCAACTGGCCCCGATCGGCCAGGGAGCTGCCCTTTTATGCCTCGTCCCCAACGAACGAGGGGTGGGGTTGTGTGCGCCCCCAGATATCCCACAGAGCACGCACAGCCCCCCCCCCGTTGGTGGCGCCAAAGGGCTCAACTGTTTGGGGTGCCTGGGATTCTAGCGCCTCGCGCCGAGGGCTTATCTGCCTAGGATCCTAGAGCCCCCAGCAGCCCCCCCTTTCTTATGGCACTACATATGTGTTCAGTACAAGCCACCTGTGGACTGGTTTTGGTGTACAATGTCTCAACAGTCCGGCTTGCTTCAACTGATGTTCATCGGCAAGGTCCATTTCAAGTCTCAGTTCGACAAAATGTATACGTAACACAAAATGATAATTAGTGTTCTTGTGGAGAATGTATCTCCTATACGTAACTTATAAGTGGCATACCTTAACTGATGAATGATCCGACTATGCTCCCGATTTCAAAGACAATGAGTTGCCCCAGTCAGATGCGTCCTGATTCACAAAAATACCCTTTGACTCGTATCACAAAAATAACAGCTCTCACGTGAGTTTTTGTACAGGTTACCACCAAAACAGATACTTTGTCCTGACAGCACATATTCCATGTTTGACATTAATACACAAAATGTTGTATGTACGTACAAAATCAGACAGGTATTCTTTCAATTATGATTCAAAATAATCAAAGGGCACATTGGCAACATTTTATTACTATACTGAAATGTACTGCGTCACGTTGCAACGTATTTACAAGTAGATCTCTGCCGAGATGAGGCCTATATGTGCAGCACTCTCAGAGGGAAGCCAAGTAGTAGTACATTCTCTATTTATTGCAGAGGTTCAAGGTTCAAATCCGACTGGCATATCAATCATCTCCCCCGACTTACAAACTCATATCCACGTGGCACACAGGGGCAGATGCCCATAATGGGCACCCATCGAGTGTCTAAGATGAGATATGATACAAAACACTTGAGTCACTCCTGGTTAGAGATCGCCCCAACCCACAGGTTCACAAATACTGGCCACGCTTACACTGCAGTTTGAACCTAGAAATTGAGTGTTCAACTTCACATTATATTCATTAGAAAGGCCTGTGACAAAGGTGCATCCATTGGAGCTTAATTGTCTGAAGCTTGCACATCTACCTGGTCTCCATTTGACTTTGTATTGTCTAAGAAGTCCACCCACACCTCCACATCCACAAACTCATGGGAGTTGCCTCGCTCTGCCTCACAGTCAGAATTTAGTTCCTGTTTCACACTGCCTCCATCTATGTGAAGGTCCGATTTTGGAGTTGAATAATCTTCAAATTTAACCTTCACTTCTACGCTCTTCACTGTTACTTCTTCACATTTCACTTTCGCCTCTTCATATTTCACCTTGATACCTTTCAAAGTGTCCAGGCTGGGATTGTCTTCTGGTTCTTGTTTCATGAACAATGGGGTCATTGCAGCACTTTGACTTTCACAAGCTGATTTCAGATTACACTTCTTGTGGATTTTCTGATGCTTGTGTGTTCTCTGGTGTTTTTTAAGATTTGATGACTGTGCAAACGCTTTCCCACAAACACTGCAATTGAAGAGTTTCTCTCCTGTGTGTGTTCTCTGGTGTTGTTTAAGAGTAGATGAATCTAAAAATGTCTT